AAAAAAATCAACAAATGGAATTATAAGCGTTCTCAGAAAAAGAAATACATCTAATAAATATTTGAAAAAATGTTCAACATTTCTGGCCATGAGGGCCTGCCTGGCAAGCGCAAGAACCTGGGTTCAATCCTTCGTACCACAAGCTGGGCCGGCCCTGAGCCCTGACACTCTATGCCAGCTACCAAAACTGGGTGTGGTGGCACACACCAGTAATCCCAGCACCAGTGAGACTGAGACAGGAGGATCATTATGAGTCCAAGATGCATAGCAAGAAAATAAATAATTTTTTTAAAAAAATTCTGGCCATTAGAGAAATGCAAAATAAAACAACACTGAGATTTCATCTTGTTCCAGAAAGATTGGCTATCATCACAAAACCAAATAATAACAACTTCTAGCAAGACTGTGGAGGAAAAGGAACGCTTCTATGTTGTTAGCAGGAAGGTAAACTAGCATATTACTACAGAAATCAGTATGGAGAGTCCTTGAAAAACAAAAGCTATTTAACCTAGCTATTCCTCCTGTAGGCATCTTCCCAAAGAGTTAAAATCTCTGTATTACAGTGCCACATGCATACCCACGTCTGGAGAGCGCAGCTCCTAATAGCTAAACCTGGGAAGCAGCCTATTTGCCTGTCCATCAGCGGATGAATGGATAAAGAAAAGGTGTTACGCACTAAGTCATTTGTTGGAAAATGGACACACCTTGAGCCTACAATGCTATGTGAAATAAATGAGACACACATGCTTAAATACAGCATGATTTTTCTTATGAGAAACCTAAGGTATAAAGACCAAAATAAAAGACAGATAAAGAAAATAGGGAGAAAGATCTTTTGCAAATGGGAGAGGACCAACAGATGAAGAGAAGAAGAGTAAGGGAAGAGACAGTGAAGAAATATAAATAAAATTAAGGTGTGTTAGGCTGGGCGTGGTGGCACACACATGTAATCCCAGCACCTGGGAGGCTAAGGCAGGAAGATCACTGTTGAGTTTGAGGCCAACTACCCAGTAGTTCAAGGTCAGCCTGAACTACAAAACCAGAATGTCAAAAAAAAAAAAAAAAAGAAAAGAAAGAAAGAAAGAAAGAAAGAAAGAAAGAAAGAAAGAAAGAAAGAGGGACTGGGGAGATGGCTCAGTGGAATAAGTTCTTCTCTGACGAG